CAGCCACACATACAGACAAACACAGCCTAACATACAGACAAACACAGCCTAACATACAGACAAACACAGCCACACATACAGACAAACACAGCCTAACATACAGACAAAACACAGCCTAACATACAGACAAACACAGCCACATACAGACAAACACAGCCACACATACAGACAAACACAGCCTAACATACAGACAAACACACACACATACAGACAAACACAGCCTAACATACAGGACAAACACAGCCCAACATACAGACAAACACAGCCACACATACAGACAACACAGCCCAACATACAGACAAACACAGCCCAACATACAGACAAACACAGCCTAACATACAGACAAACACAGCCTAACATACAGACAAACACAGCCACACATACAGACAAAACAGTCCAACATACAGACAGCACAGCCACACATACAGACAAACACAGCCTAACAACAGCCAACAACACAGACAAACACAGCCCATACATACAGACAAACACAACATAACATAAGACAAGTCACAGCCTAACATACAGACAAACACAGACAAACACAGCCTAACATACAGACAAACACAGCCACACATACAGACAAAACACAGCCTAACATACAGATCATACAGACAAACACAGCCTAACATACAGACAAACACAGCCTAACATACAGACAAACACAGCCTACAGACAAACACAGCCTAACATACAGACAAACACAGCCTAACATACAGACAAACACAGCCTACTACAGACAGACAAACACAGCCTAACATACAGACAAACACAGCCTAACATACAGACAAACACAACACAGCCACACATTACAGACAAACACAGCCTAACATACAGACAAACACAGCCTAACATACAGACAAACACAGCCTAACATACAGACAAACACAGCCTAACATACAGACAAACACAGCCACACATACAGACAAACACAGCCACACATACAGACAAACACAGCCACACATACAGACAAACACAGCCACACATACAGACAAACACACAACCACTGAAGATATTATTGTCATTATATATAAATTCTATTCTCTCTTGCAAGAATAAATCTTAAACAGATCTAAAGAGACTAAGGTAGATTACGACGATAAACAAACAAACAACAATTTGGCTAACAACCTAACATGAAGGGGATTAATTACTACGGTTTACCTGTACAAATACAGAGGGTTTGCTAACAATGGTATGCCTGTACAAACAAACAAACAGAGAGAGAGAAAGAGAGCCCACGTCTTCAACTTTGCCGAAAATTCTTTAAACAAGTATAAAAGTTACTTAAGAGAGCAGTTAAGGTTGTTTAAGTAGTAGTAAAATAAAAAGTCTTTCAAGAAAACGATTCCGGATTACTTAAACGAGGTCAGAGTTCAGATGATTGACTGCAAGACGCTTAGTATATTTTGGTCAAGGTAAAAAGAAAGTCCATCTTACTGGTGTTTAAGCCTTTGACGGCGATGGTTTAACTCTAAACGACGATGGTTTAACTTTGAGAACGATGATTTAAACCTTTGGCGACGATGGTTTAACTGAGGTCGATGGTTTAACCCAGGTCGATGGATTAACCCATTAACGACGATGTACGGAAGTTTAACTGAAAGGTCCAAATTGGCGGTCTGTGGTAATCAATAAACAAGCCTCCAGTGCGACAGACAGACTAACAGACAGGCAGACAGATCACTTCTCTACAACCCTTCCCGTCGACTGAACAACCGTCACGTGATTTGCAGATCTGGCGAAACTATCAATTAATCTCTCATTAGCGGCACGAAAGAGTAATTAACGACTGTGGAGGGAAGATGGCTGCCTCCTGGGGTGACGTCACTACTAGGCCCCCAGTCCTACTAGGCCCCACTCCTACTAGTCCCCACTCCTACTAGGCCCCAGTCCTAGTAAGCCCCAGTTCCTACTAGTCCCCACTCCTACTAGGCCCCAGTCCTAGTAAGCCCCAGTTCCTACTAGTCCCCACTCCTACTTGGCCCCAGTCCTAGTAAGCCCCAGTTCCTACTAGTCCCCACTCCTACTAGGCCCCAGTCCTAGTAAGCCCCAGTTCCTACTAGTCCCCACTCCTACTAGGCCCCAGTCCTAGTAAGCCCCAGCTTAGGCCCCAGTCCTAGGCCCCACTCCTACCAGGGCCCCAGTCCCAGTAAGCCCCAGTTACCAGGTCCCACTCCCTACTAGGCCCCAGTCCCAGTAAGCCCCAGTTCCTACTAGGTCCCCACCCTACCAGGCCCCAGTCCAGTGGCCCCATCCTACTAGGCCCCACCCTACTAGTCCCCACTCCTACTAGGCCCCAGTCCTGGACCCACTCCTACTAGGCCCCACTTACTAGGCCCCACCCTACTAGGCCCCATTCTAATATAGGCCTCAGTTCTACTAACACTCTGATCTACTAGGTTCCAGTCCCAATAGACCCCAGTCCCAATAGACCAGTCTAATAGACCCCAGTCCCACAGACCCCAGTCCTAGAAGTAGTCCTAATAGACCCCAGTCCAGACCCCAGTCCTAATAGACCCTAATAGACCCCAGTCCTAATAGACCCAGTCCTAATAGACCCAAGTCCTAATAGACCCCAGTCCTAATAGACCCCAGTCCTAATAGACCCAGTCCTAATAGACCCAAGTCCTAATAGACCCCAGTCCTAATAGACCCCAGTCCTAATAGACCCAGTCCTAATAGACCCCAGTCCTAATAGAACTAATTCCTGCTGGGGGCTTGGGAACCAGTCCTCATGGCCCCCAGACTCTACTGGTTAGGTTATAGTTAAGTACCCAACACAGCCCCTGGCCTTACCCGCTGCCGTGTCAAATGAGAGCCGCTGTTTACATCAGGTTACACCAGGTTTTGTGACGTTGCTCATGATGTGTGACCAAATGGCGTTGTAACGGCCCCTGTCTCATCAACAGAGCATATTATATAAATGGGTTCTTTCATCTGATTTTATATTCAAATTTCACCCCCTGTAACCTTCCACTGGCTATGAGGTGACATGTTCAAGGCACATGATAAGGTGTGCCCCACGGGAAGCTGGGTCATACAGTACTATGCTGAGTAAAGGCATAAGAAGCCGGCTCTCTGGCCACCTGAAGCGAGCAGTAGTTTGATATCCTTGACTAGAGGAAGACGTTATTTGGGAGCCGCAGTGGATGGCTCCGTCTTCCCTCGAGGGGGAACGACGTACCCATACCGTTCTCCCTCGATGGGTCACTACTCATCAGTCACTCACATCAACTAATATCGAACGGACGTGATCCACGTTTATATTCATAAATGCCGTCCTCTTTCTCATTCACTCATAAATAGTGGAACTTACGGTTGATCTACACTCAGGAATTATAGACATAATCCTTTTGTAGTAAAACAAGGCACTTCAATTGGGTTTCATTACTAAAACCCCAATCTCTAATATATGTGAACAACCCGGTTAACTGGGGGATTAACCGACGGGTTCAGCGTTACTCGGCCATGTCTACTGAACACTTCTTCACCATTCTGTCACCCCCCCATCACACACCCCCATCACACACACACACCCCATCACACACCCCCATCACACACCCATCACACACCCCATCACCCACCCCCATCACACACCCATCACACCCCATCACACACCCCATCACACACACACACCCCCATCACACACCCCTGTTAACTCTATGCAAAACCAAATTAACATTCACTATACAAAATATTAATAAATTCTCTCAGTTGGTATTCTTCTGCTTAAATATCTACTTGTATAACCTAAAGTAATTCCCAGATATACATGGCTTGTTACGCTAGTGAATTATCGTACCATTGATCATCTTAAATTACTCTACTGTACTCAATCTCAATTGCTACCATTATCTCCTTTACTGATAAACACTGATTCATATTCATCTGGTCTGTTTTTGTTTTGGTTTTTTGGACTTGTACACTCTCTCACCACATGCTGACTGGTATGAGCTCAGGCGAGAATTGTGTTTTGACAATCCAGTTTAATATTGTCATTTTCTTTCGACTTTCCGATTTATTATCATAGAAGAAATTTTATATTCTACGTTTTATTTTGATTTATTCTGTTATGATTTCTTTATTTTACAGCACTGATGATAGGGATAATATTCTTGGAAATATCTGATTGGAAATAAATAATAAATATGTGTTAGTTCTAAATTGTGATGTTAGGTTAGGTTAGATTAGATTAGATTAGGTCTGACATTTCCGTAAGAACAAACCCATTAATGAACAAATATACAACTGTACAAAAACTAGTTTTGCACTATGATCAAGACTCCCAGTGCACGTCACAATGAAGAGAACCTGAATCCCTGCCACCTAACAATATATATTTTATTTTCTTTACCACGCCTCAATCTCTTATCAGTGAGACCACCTGCTGACCTGTCCGTTTACGATAACATAATCCTTTCAGTGTTTGAAGTTAATGTACTCTGACTAATCCTACACACACGCACAGGGCCTCAGTCAATACAGTTACTAGACACTAAAGGAATATAGTTGTTTACCTGTCTAAACTGTCTAAATATTGCCAGTAAATCTTTTAAACATAATTGCATTAGCTTTTAGGCTAAATTATAGTAATGTTTTATACACGTTGAGTTAATTCCTTATACATAATTATTTAATCCTTTATTCAATTACTTAATCATCCAAGCACGAAGACTTCATCCTCCAAACTCAATCATAAAACTGTTGAGTGCATTAATTATCTCCTCTAGTGTTAACATGTGTAGTACAGTGGAATACAACATAACACAGCATCCTCAAACTATTCCCACAGGCTACCTTGACACAGTGGAAGAGGTCGTACCATTGGTTTTAAATTAGTCCCCCCAGCTAGCTCCTTACCACAGCCATTCTAACCTCTACACAGCCCTCAAACGCAGCGGAAGCGGTCCCTCATGCCAGCTAGCTCATTACCACAGCTCCACCTCCCACCACAACACCATTAACCTTCATTCCTTTCTCCTTCCTCTACTATACAGTGGAAAACATCGCGTTCAAGGGCAAGACTTGGGTGAATGATAAGAGACATGCGTGGTCTGGCTGGGACTACGGTCCGGCAACCTTGGCGGTGGACGGTGGGCTGAATACGTCACTACGTTCATGTGCCGTCATCGACAACTACCACGTCGACGAGCCCGTGTGGATGGTCGACTTGGGCAAGAGACGGATGGTGAGGGGTCTTGTTATCCTCACTTGGCAGGGACGAGGACAAGGTGAGAATCAGGGTTAAGAACGAGGTGAAGGGGTCGAGGGCAAGGTGAGAATCTGGGCCCTATAGTGTAATAGCTTCTAGTGTTACAGATCAATAGTATGTCCAATAGACAACATAGTATTCAGTTAGTATAATTTGTCTAATACATCCCCAGGCTATTTAATATAACCCCTGGCATATCATCCTTCAGGTAGAGTATATTGGTAGAGTATATTTCCTTACAATAGCAGCTAGTATAACCAACAAGTATAAAAACCTAGTATAATCAAGTAAATGAAAAACTAGCAGCCACAACGAACTATTAAAAATCTAGTTATAAAATCCTAAAAGTCCTAGTTATATGTCTCTGCTCTAGCGTATATCCTCACTTCAGATAGTACAGTATATCCACGTAGTATAACATAAATATGGTATACCCCCTCACAGATCAACAGACACTCTACCGTAACTATGTGTTTGGGTTGGATCGCCTCACTGTATACGTGGAAAACCAGCGACGCTTAGATGCCCCGACCTCACAGGACCACAAGAAGTGCGCCTCAGTGACCAGACTCAATAATGCGCTATTCAAGTATGTGACACTCGTTTCATCGACTATGTGGCACTAATTGATTGTTTATGGTACTTATAGACTGTCTGTGGCACTTATAGACCGTTTATGGCACTAATAGACTATGTGACACTAATAGACTGTATGTGGCAATCGTTCAACAGACTCAAGCAAGCACCTACACTATTAATTAACGCACCTTTGAGCTATAAACCACCTATCCAACACTTACCAACGCACTCTACTTACCAGGTTGTTGTTGTTGTTGTTGGTGTTGTTAATACCTAATGGTTGTTGTTGTTGTTGTTGTTGTTGTTGTTGTTGTTAATGCCTAATGGTTGTTGTTGTTGTTGTTGTTGTTGTTGTTGTTGTTAATGCCTAATGGTTGTTGTTGTTGTTGTTGTTAATGCCTAATGGTTGTTGTTGTTGTTGTTGTTGTTGTTGCTGTGAATGCCTAATGGTGTTGTAGTGTTTCATTACGACATAACCGAGGCATTCATTGAAAGTCTCTGAAATATGTCATTAATGTTTGAAAGTATATTACTAATAATATCCTGCTCTCTCTCTCTCTCTGTTTGTTTATATTTTTGCCTCAAAGAAATATATGGACTAAGAATTTTATCTTTATCTTTTAAGTAAATAGTAAAATATATTTCCTCTCCTCTGAAGCCATAATAATTATCAATTGAGTTTGTCTGCCATATACAAAAGTTCAATAAATTTTGTTTTTATAATAATAATAATAATAATAGTTTCAGTGCTATTGCTATTATTTACAAAAGCTTAACTCCATGTTGTTTCTTCGTCCACCAGACAGCGCGTTCATGTGGAGTGTCCTCAGCCAATCAAAGGACGCTACGTGTACATCAAGGCCGGGGGCGTGGCTAACCGCTGGCACAGGATATTCTCACTAGTGTTATGTGAGGTCATGATCTACTAGCTGCTGCCTGAGTCTCCCCACCACCCCCGCCCCCACGCCCCCACACATACACTCTCAGGCCCACCAACAGAATTCGAGAATGAATCCCCTGTATGTGATAATAAAAATGCCCCAAGTTGCTTTTGAAGTTTGATGAAGTCTGGACAAGAATCGACTGCAGAATCGTCAGGAATAAGGAACTTGGAAGATAGTTATCCATAATGTGTGTGACCGAGGAAAGATTTGACCGAGACCTCTTGACTTTTACCCTTTGGTTTGGGTGTAATCTAGCTAGTAAGGCGATGGACTAAGATAAAGGAACAGGTTAAGATATTGTCAGTGCATATGAAAGCTCCAGAGCGGCTGCCCACGATCCCAAGACTGGAAAATAAACCAACACTGCAGATTGGTTGTGTCTGCCGCCATCAGCAGTACTGGGTATTCCCGCCAAGGACGATGTGTTTATCTAAGCAACAAATTGACCTTCAAATGCGATCCGCAAAGCTATTACGACCCGGAAGTAATAAAATAGTCCAAAATATCGTGAAAGGGGGTTAAGTTTTCATCTGAAGGCAGAGTCTCGTCAGTGTGGAGGAGACTGCTGCTCACTGAAGGCGTCTCTTGAAAACTTGTGGACTACAACACAACGGTATACGAGTCCTTTCCGTCGCACAGACATTTTATGAATGTAATTTGACGTACCTACAGTATAGTTTATATGACGAATTACGATTTTTTAATTATCTTCATCTAAACCTGTGATAACAGTAAACGTTGATTCCATCTCTATACAGTCACTCAAAAAAATGATCTATACAAAACAATTTTGAAAAAATATGACCCAACAGACGAAGGATTTTGACATCCCTACCGAGACAACAGGAGTCACAGTGTTCATTCTGAAATTCATCGATCACCCCCAGCACAGATAGTTTTTTGAGTTACTGTACATGATGTGAGTTCTCCTAAGACATTATTGAGAATAATGACATGATAATTCCTTATTCCTTAAGATGTGACAGAATTAAGAGAATAATCTAGGTTCATATGCTAGAAAGGAAGCGTAGCTCTCTATATACATTATTATTATGTTAAAATATAGAATCTATTGAAATATTACTTGAAAAATGTTAAGAATGTTTGAGGTCGATGGAGGGAGTGTTTTGAATAAGAGGTTTAGTGTTTTGAAGTTTCTGTCAGATAGTGATTGATTTTTTTTTAAACATTATTTTGATATCTTCAGGTATTAGCGCCACATAAGTGTTGGTTCTGAATACTTTCCTTCCTACTCTGGTCTTGTGATATATATAAATGTATCTGTTACCCGTATTAAAAAAAAAAAGACTTTATAGAAGAGAAATATTCGTGCTTCCTCGCTTCTCGTGCCAATACACGAACTCTCGTTGTCCAGGGATCGTTTACCTGGTGTAAGACTCAATATGTATCTCACTATGCACAACTCACGAGTCTTGTGTGAAGGGACTTGGGTGTTGACAGTGTCAGACTAACACTTTATGACTGGAAAATGATGATCCCAGTCGCAGTTGTGTGAGGACGGTGTATGCTGCCTGTGTTGTGAAACGAGTATAGAATATAGACAATGTTAAGGAGTGTGTCGGTGCTGTGTTTATGGAGGTGCGAGCCGAGGAACTTTAATTTTAATGAAGCGATACTTCCTTGTGCGAAGCTGTGTGGTATTATACCCTTTAACTGGTGGTGCCCTGGACATGTGAGTGCTTCATCAGCTGGCTCAAGGAACACGCTAGTGATGCTCACTATTGCTGTTGTTGATGAACGAAATAAAATCAACAAAATCCAACGAAACTGACTAACGATTAGGCAAGTGAAAGTGATTCCCCTTGAGTAACGCCGCCGACCCCATCACTAGGACACCGTGTGTACTGTTCAGTCCGCACAATTTAGTTATCAGGGGATCAGTAGGACGGTCGTGTGTTGTGTTAGATGTGTAAGCAGGAAGAAACCGATGTTGCTTACCATTACTCAGGTCGGTAATGTTATTCATGTTGTGTTCACTCTTCATCCCGACCCACAGTGTAAACATGAGTTAGGAAAGCCCCCGAAGCTCCTCCTCCTCCTCTTATACCCCAACCTCCTGCTTCTTCTTCTTTTGATTTATTTAGTCTTTAAACATGAGGCTCCATGTGTTCATATTTCCTTCAATTATTCTCACACCAATTATTACTCTTAGATTATTATCGCTCAAAACTTGTATTACGAATATGTACAGTATATGAACGCCTTTTTAAATAAGTGAATTATTCTATTTTGTTTTGGTAATGTATATATATATATATATATATATATATATATATATATATATATATATATATATATATATATATATATATATATATATATATATATATATATATATATATATATATATATATATATATATTTAAGTTAGTGGGGTAAGATGTACAAGGTGCAATCATATTATATATATAAAAAATAGTTCTTCTTGGTTAAATTTAAGGCGTGTTGAATTACGGTTCAGGTTTTTGTACACTTCAGTCAAATACTGAAGTCCATTGGCTTCTCTCCCTTTGAACCCCGAACCCCCCCGAGACATTTTCAGACTCATGAATCCGAAGCATTTATGTATTAATCTACTGCTTTGGGTTCACGAATCTGAATCTGTCTGGGTTCGTGGTTCAGGAGGAGAGGCGAATGGACTTTTGTAGTTGTCTGTACAATATGAGCCGTGATCCAGCATCTCTGGATACAAATCGAACCATTAACTTTGATTTAGAAAACCCTAAATAATTTTCTCCACGACAAATACCTTTGAATCTCATTTTTGTAGTAGAGTGAAAGTATATTAGGTTATATAAAAACTATATGAGGAAGCTATGACGATATAAACAAATCCTTATAGAAATAGTTAAAAACTCATGAATGAGTTCAATTATTTTTTCTTTACTACCAAAATAAATATATCCCTTTAATTCTGTAAAAGAGGGAAGTTTATGTTGGTTTTGTTAAGATGTAGTATAGAAAAAGGTTTTACATGAAGCATCCCTATAAGTGTTGTGAAACTAATCTATTCACATACAGAGTTTTTTTTCATCTTTGAGAGACTAAAAGCTTTTTTTTTTCTTTTCTTTTTTCTTTTTCGCTGGGGAAGATTAAAGGCAAGAGTCAGTTGGTGTGGTAAAAGCAGAGTTTTTTTGTGTGTTCAGTGAGGTTGAGTGTGTGTATGTGATTGTTTCTAGTGAAGTCAAATCAGGCGAATTTGGTCACGTGCCGAATTTACCTGGACATGTACGGCACACCTGGTTATGTACACCAGGTCATGTACCACTGGTTATGTACACCTGATCGTGTACACCAGGTCATGTACCCGTGGTTATGTACACCTGGTCTTATACACCTGGTTTTGTATACCTGATCATGTACTGTACATCTGGTCTTGTGTATGTGTGCTTAGAAATATATTATATATATGTATGTGTGTGTGTGTGTGTGTGTCTGTGTATGCATGCGTGTACATTTAGGACCATGATAGTATTAAGTCACAAATGAAGCAATACTTTCAGGGGTCAGGTGTGAGGCTAAACGATAAATCAAGCGGTGTGGTGTACTGGCAGGTAACACGTACGCTTTCTCCTGCTGCATTAAATACGTATTGTGTAATGTAGTTTTCCCCTGTGTGTGTGTGTGTGTATGTGTGTGTGTGTGTGTGTGTGTGTGTGTGTGTGTGTGTGTGTGCGTGTGTGTGTGTGTGTGTGTGTGTGTGTGTGTGTGTGTGTGTGTGTGTGTGTGTGTGTGTGTGTGTGTGTGTGTGTGTGTGTGTGTGTGTGTGTGTGTGTGTGTGTGTGTGTGTGTGTGCATTTATTGACAATATTAAGGAGCATCTATTTAAGTATCATTACATCATGACAATTAATTTTAGTGAACTTATTACTGCGAGGAACTAAGGTACTACATGCTGAGAGAGAGTGTGATGCTGAGAGTGTGTGATGCTGAGAGTGTGTGATGCTGAGAGAGAGTGTGATGCTGAGAGTGTGTGATGCTGTGAGTGTGATACTGACAGAGTTTGATCTTGAGAGTTTATAATATAGTGACTTAAGGATGCAAATAAACCTTATGATAAAATAATAAAGAATTTATTGATATTTTTAGCATTAAGGTGACAATTTCTCATGACTCATTAGCGTCTCGTTTGGTGTGTTGATAAGGTGTACAGGTGTATCTAACAGCCCAGTCCTTATCTTTCATCATTCTTGCAGAGATAAACCATTGTAAATAAAAATTACATACATACATACATACAGACAGACAGACATACATACATTACATACATACATACATACATACAGACAGACAGACATACATACATTACATACATACATACATACATACAGACAACCCCTGATGTAATAATCACTATGTAACGGGCAACACATGACTGTTAGGTAGAAGAGAAAATATAATGTTTATTAAAAGATACAATATTATATACAGGCGATCACCATGTTGTACCAGTGACGTCATCTACTGGGCAGTGTTACCAGATGTGAGTGTCAGTCAGACCTTCCCGAGTCGTGCCTGTAGCTTCAATACGGTCTCTCTCTCTCTCTCTCTCTCTCTCTCTCTCTCTCTCTCTCTCTCTCTCTCTCTCATGGAAAGGTATTCGAAGGAAGGTTTGACAGGAAGGTTCTGGTGGATAAGGTTCTGGTAGGGATGGTTTTTGGTGAGAAAGTTCTAATGGAAAAGTTCTGGAGTGAAAGTTCTGTTAAATACGTTCACTAGCTATAGGTGCACACAGGAACCTCTTATGTGTACACCTTCATACTCACATATGTACACCAACAAGGTACATTTTGGTCCTGCATTAAGTACACATAAATCAAAAGGTTTCGTGAACTGTCTTCCTTAAAACAACAAGTGTGTTAGAGTGTGTTACAAATTATGTTATATCAGGGTGGTGTTGTGACGTTACTTGAATATCTATGTTAAAAAGTTTATTAGTAAATGTTCTCACTTAAGCTGCCTGTGTTTATTTACCCTGTATAAGGTATTAAGCCCTCCTTGTATGACGCCACGGTGTTCTTCAGGAGAGCTCTAGTGTACTCGATAAGGCTCCTTCGTCATTACTGTTGTTGTTGTTCATTCTGTAATTAACTTAGGATGAGTTGGGTATCAGTGATCAGTGTAAACACATTCTCCGTGTCAGTAGCGGGACCTTGGAGGAAAAATTTTAAAGTATAGAGAAACAAAGATTATCCTAGGTGATACTGCTGCACTTCAATCATTTCAGTAACCTGTGAAGTAAGGCTGCCTCTCACTATGCCCTAAGTGCTTTTAAAAACTTTTCCCCGCCACAACCAGCAATATACCTTGGTAATGAGCTACTCTAAGGTTGGTCGAATCCCAAACTTTGCACTTAAACCTAAAAGGTGAATGTAAAGTTAAGATCGCCACAGCCTCAAACAGCTCATGTAACTCACCACTAGCTTGCCTCGTTAAAGAAAAGACGGCGTAAAGCGAGGCATTAATGCGAGCTATAAAATTAATATGAACCCATAACGATAAACCTCGACATGTCCTCGAGGGAAATTTTGAGTGTTAACTTGTCATATACTTATGAGTGAGGAAGTTTACAGCTCCTACGTCTGGCTGCGTCTCCTCCCTGCTGCTAAAAACTACTGTTGACACGATTATGAGGGCCAGGAACAGTCGTTTGCAAGTTCACCAACAGTTTTTTAACCAATCAGAATGTTGGTGCCGTAAACACGCCCAGAGTTTCTTACATTGTGATGAACATAAACACACCGTAACAAAAAAGTAATTAATCTAAGTTGGTGATTTCCTTAGTGAATCTTCCCCCAACTGAAAGCTGCCCTCTGTCACCCGAGGAGCTGTGTTTCAAAGGAGTCATCATTCGCATCTTTTTGCGATAGGAACCGAACCTCTTCCATCCACGTCAGTAGCGATGTTGAGTTTATTATTTTGGTTTGATCAAGTGGTAACTCGAGTTTTGGTGACGAGGTGAAGTCTACCTACAACATCTCTCTCGCTCTCTCTCTCTCTCTCTCTCTCTGCACAGGTGAGTAGGCCTAAGTAGAAGGTTGGAGGCGCTTGCTAAGGTGAATAGGTGGGTGAGTGGATTAAAAGAGGTGGCTAGTGAGGTAAATATATACATAGACAGAATTTATGCATTAGTTGGCCAAACAAGGCGAAAGTTAAGATGGATGGTCAGATAAAACTTGGTGGGCGGTAAGGATTCCATATGATCTAATCGGTCAATATCAAATGGGTGGCTGGGCGGGTTGAGGTGGATACTTGGGTGGCTGGGCGGGTTGAGATGGGTACTTGGGTGGCTGGGATGGTTGAGGTGGATACTTGGGTGGCTGGGATGGTTGAGGTGGATGCTTGGGTGGCTGGGCGGTTGGGGTGGATACATGGGTGGCTGGGCGGTTGAGGTGGATACTTGGGTGGCTGGGATGGTTGAGGTGGATGCTTGGGTGGCTGGGCGGGTTGAGATGGATACTTGGGTGCCTGAGCGGTTGGAGATGAATACTTGGGTGGCTGGGATCGTTGAGGTGGATGCTTGGGTGGCTGGGATGGTTGAGATGGATACTTGGGTGGCTGGGATGGTTGAGATGGATACTTGGGTGGCTGGGATGGTTGAGATGGATACTTGGGTGGCTGAGCGGGTTGGAGATGGATACTTGGGTGGCTGGGATGGTTGGGGTGGATGCTTGGGTGGCTGGGATGGTTGAGATGGATACTTGGGTGGCTGGGTGGCTTGGGTGGCTGGGCGGTGTGGATACTTGGAATACTTGGGTGGCTGGGCGGGTTGAGGATATGGGTGGCTGGGCGGGTTGAGGTGGATACTTGGGTGGCTGGGATGGTTGAGGTGGATGGGGTGGCTGGGCGGGTTGAGGTGGATGCTTGGGTGGCTGGGCGGTTGAGGTGGATACTTGGGTGGCTGGGATGGTTGAGGTGGATGCTTGGGTGGCTGGGCGGGTTGAGGTGGATACTTGGGTGGCTGGGCGGGTTGGGGTGGATACTTGGGTGGCTGGGCGGGTTGAGTGGATACTTGGGTGGCTGGGATGGTTGAGATGGATACTTGGGTGGCTGGGCGGGTTGAGGTGGATACTTGGGTGGCTGGACGGGTTGAGGTGGATACTTGGGTGGCTGGGCGGGTTGAGGTGGATACTTGGGTGGCTGGGCGGGTTGAGGTGGATACTTGGGTGGCTGGGCGGGTTGAGGTGGATACTGGCTGGGCAGGTGATGAGGTGATGAGGTGGGATACTTGGGTGGCTGGGATGGTTGAGATGGATACTTGGGTGGCTGGGCGGGTTGAGTTGGATACTTGGGTGGCTGGGCGGGTTGAGGTGGATACTTGGATGGCTAGTTGGCTAGCCCTGCAGGTTCAAAAGGGTGGCCGGGTGAGTTCGGAAAGGTGACTGGTGGCCGGGCCGGGCGGATTGGGGTGGATAGTTGGGTTTTAGTGCACAAAAGACATCGTTGGTTACGTGTGTGTGTGTGTGCGTGTGCGTGTGTGTGCGTGTGTGTGTGTGTGTGTATGAAAGCTACCTGTGCCCCGAGAGACTTACCTGCCCCTCACAGGACTAATGATGGTTGAGTCTTGACTCCAGCCTAATATATTAATCCCACCTGGAGAACCACAACCATTATTCTCATTCTTGAAAACTTTTTATATTATCTTTATATGTTTGTGTGAGAGAGGATGTCTGCTGAGTCATGAGGATACACTGGGAAGGTGTGGCGGGAGAGTGACACAACCATATCAGCGTTGTTTCATATTACACGTTAACTTACATACGGTACTCTGTTATGGTCAAGTAGTACAGTACTCTTAATCTGCCTCGCCTCCTCGCCCCTACTCTGTCACCCAGCGCCCACTCCACCAGTATTCTCTCTTTTTTTAGGTCTCTCGTCTCGCTATATTTCATCCTACCCAAACCCAGGCCCTCTCACCCAACCCACCATCAACTCATACCTGTTCTCTCTCTCTCTCTCACTGCTGGCTAAGGTTCGTCTGGCGTTGTTTCGGTAGAATGAGAAATAAATAGCTCGGCGTCCCTACTGGCTAAAGTTCGTCTGGCGTTGTTTTCATACGGAGATCGCTGTGGGAATTTCGAGGTAGTGATGACATCTCTTCCTTGGTGACTGACTACTCGTGATGTTCAGGTGTATGACAGATCAATCACATGGAATCTTAAGTCTGATTTATTAAACGTGGTGTTAAATCCATTTGTTGAAGGTGAGTGTTTTAAGTGTTACATGAGAGTGTTGTTGTTGTTGTGTTGAGCCCTGCATCTATGAGTTGGTTGTAGCGGTAGTTGAGGTTCGTTATCACTGCCCCCAAGACACTTAACACGAGCTAACACTGCCAGTATGACGCAGGCCTTTTCATCTTCGTATTTCCAGTGAGTGTATGTCTGTCGCAGTGTGTGTGTGTGTGTGTGTGTGTGTGTGTGTGTGTGTGTGTGTGTGTGTGTGTGTCTCAAGCCCTTCAGTATTATATCCCACCCAAGTCCACAAATAAAAGTATATTCTTACAGTTTAAATTTCTTATATATTTTTTCTTTTATACACAAACATTCTCTCGTCTTAACTTTTTTCTTCCTGGACCAAGTCTGTGATGTGACAGGGGGTATAATCATGCTGGCAGAGTAGCGTGTTCGCTCTAATAGTCTTAAGTTAAAGTGAACCATGGCGTCAAACTCATATACCCTCCCTCATCAGGAAGTCGGCGGCGGAATATCAACAAGGCTCCTCTGACAAGTCCACATCGACAGTCAACAATGCAGACGAGAAGACATTTCCCCAAATTTCGGTATTAGTTAAAGCTGGTGGTGCATAATGCATAGCCACTCCTCGCAACTTTTCAAATCCGGGATTATTTGGAAGTCTGTCCCTAAGCCTCTACAAACGCACGAGTCAGCGCAATCAAGGCACTGGGAGGGGTAGGGTGGGAGACCTTCAGTGATCAATAGACGACGGGGATGAGATGTCGATGTGTCTGATGATCTTTATTGACTCTACCCGACTGCCTCTCTCACACCATACATCCAGAGTAACTTGCTAAAAAAAAATTCGATATATACATAAAAATCAACTTATTTTCATTGTTTGTGGCCTTGCTAAATTAATATTACTTTAAAAAGTGTCCTAAACTTCACTACACACTGCGTAGAGTAAGTAGATCATAGCTCTGTGCCTTTCCCATGAACACAACGCCAGCATGGAACAGTCATTATCGTTGGGCATTACTCTCCATCACGCAATGACTCGCTCTGGGGATCTTGGGTCAGACGAACACTCGCACTCTCACATTGGCTCTCGTGACGTTCTTTCATACAAGTGAGTTTTTTGAACGTCAGTGAGGTGGGTGTGTCCGAAAGGTCCCCAACACAACCACCCTATATAATAAGGTGTAGGAACAGATATGCTATTTCACTTATGGCAGAAGAGGGTTGGACTGGGTACTCTCTCTCTCTCTCTCTCTCTCTCTCTCTCTCTCTCTCTCTCTCTCTCTCTCAGATAAAACACCATCTCAGTTTACACAGCAGAGGAATTTATGATCCTTGTTACACTAGAGGCCATGATTCTTGTACCTCTCTTGTTCACTGCTCTGTCAGGTCGTGTTGCGTTAACTTCTCCGGGTAATCATCCTCATCTTGACAATTAAATTTACCCTGCAATTATCCTTCTGCTTCTCCCCATCCACCTCCCGATTTTTTTGTTACATTGACTCCGTTTTCTTTAATTCCTTGTTCGCTTTATGGTGTTCTTTTTTTAGTTAATTGTTATTGTTTTCTTCATCAATATTATTCCTTTTATTTCGGAAGTTTAACAATTTAAACAGAAAGAAAATTAGCCTTCATAGTTGACTAATTAATATGACAGAAAATACAATACCTGGTTTTAGTCCACGATGATATTTTTGACCGCATCTTAACTGCATATTTTTATCTTATTGTATTCATCAACTAACCTAACCTAACCTAACCTAACCTAACCTAACCTAACCTAACCTAACCTAACCCAACCTTTTATACCAAGCGATAATTTCAACACGTCTCAACCCATCAGTGGTGTTCTGAGTGACCTGTTGACGACCCACAGTATTTTCACCACACGATATCAGCTATACACAGTGAGTCCTTCGGTAGGGCATCATTCCATCACTTCTGTACCTCTGTCCATTAGTGAGGGCGACAGCACTATGAGTTATAATCAGTTCTCTTGATTAGTATTGTGGTTTACGAGTTAAAAATAATCACAAGTTTATCAAGTTTATTTTTCTTTCTTTCTTTCTTTCCTTCTTTCTTTCTTTCGTTCTTTCTTTCTTCCTTTCCCTGTGTATGTATTAGTTTATTGTGTATTTCGTGATCTCTCTCTCTCTCTCTCTCTCTCTCTCTCTCTCTCTCTCTCTCCATGGTGACACGTTTCCCCCATCACCAAGCTTTTCTTAATATTCCTTGAGGCGCCACTTAATCAGCTTATCATTTCCTCGCAGCACATAAAGCCATAGACCTTTTTGGGGATCCTAGAGAGTGTTGAAGACTTATGCCACCCGACACCCGACGCTATACCTTAGTACAATATATTGACGTTGTTTCCATCTCTCCATATCAAGTTTGCTTATAGTTGATGGAAGAAACTGTAGCCTAATGGATTGAGTGCTTCCCTCCCACGTTTCTGTCATACTGCCAATGAAATATAGATTTTTATATGGTATTTTTTCCACACTTTATCGTAACTGAAAAACATAATAATTTCTGATAAAGATTTTTCTTAGATTACATATTCTTGAGTTTTTCCACACACTTTGATATTATCCAGTAATGGCCGTCTCCCCCACCCACACTGAGGCCAACTTTCTATTGTTAGGTTTTCTTCTATGGTGGAATAAAAGGTTAATTAAATGGCTTTCACTGCTAATTAACCTAAATCCTAATACATCCCCAGCCGCCTCACCTGACGTAGCCTATAATCATTACAATTGAGGACCACTTTAAATGGGGCATCATATTGAGAGACAAGAGTACAAACGTGATTTAACCCTTTGAGGACGATGATTTAACCCTTTGAGGACGATGATTTAACCCTTTGAGGACGATGATTTAACCCGTTGAGGACGATGATTTAACCCTTTGAGGACGATGATTTAACCCGTTGAGGACGATGATTTAACCCTTTGATGACGATGATTTAACCCTTTGATGACGATGATTTAACCCGTTGATGACGATGATTTAACCCTTTGAGGACGATGATTTAACCCTTTGATGACGATGATTTAACCCGTTGAGGACGATGATTTAACCCTTTGAGGACGATGATTTAACCCGTTGAGGACGATGATTTAACCCTTTGAGGACGATGATTTAACCCTTTGAGGACGATGGTTTAACCCTTTCATGGCGATGTTTTAACCCTTTGAGCACGAATATTTAACCCACCAGGACTCAAAGATTTAATCACTGCGTCGTCGTATCCGCCCACTTTCTAATCCAAACAGCTAACGTAATCTACTTCATCTCTCTAGCGGGGACAGAAGGCAGTAGATAAGGTTTCTCATGAGAGTTTAACAGAAGGAGATAATAACCTTTTAGGAATCCTCTACGTATATCAGGCAACAGATCGAATCAAAATAGGTGGAATATAACTTAAACACAGACAGTACACTCGTCGACAACAGTCCTACTTGAGGCCTCTGATACCCTGGGCTTATGAAGAGGTAAATGACGAGGTGATAGTGTTTTTATTGGTGAGTTTATACATAAATTATAATACCATCCACGATTAATTGAGGGTTTTGATTAGTTAGATTTGCTAAAGTGTTGCCAGAAGCCTATACACGTAAAGAAAAATATTAGATGCAGTTAAATAATTACGATGAAATTAATTTTTAATCTCGACATATTTTTCCGGTTAATATACAGGGTGTCCAAAAATTATTACCCTGAAAACAGTATGCTGTCATGTTGAATCAGGGTAATCATTTATGGACACCCTGTATAACTTGTTCATAATTTTAACTGATGACCAACAACGAAGATTTAAGCTAATACTAAAGTAATAAATCATATTCTTACAAACGCATAAATATTATTAGAAAACAATGTACCAAAAAAACTAGTTCTTTATAATGAGTAATTATATAAAATTGAATCGTTGAGGCGTTAATCGTACAAGAACTAAAGGAAAAGCAGACGTGTTTGGTTTTGGCTATAGAGGTGACCAAGAAAGGTGTGAGTAGAGCTTCAAGACGTGTGGACAGGTGAATCACAAGGCAGCCTCAGCAGTATAATTAATGTATGTAACCACAAAAGTCCGGTAACCTTCTCGAACCTGACAGAACAGAGAACCGGGCATAGTTCCAATGTTCGGTTTCGTATCCGGAATGCTGAAGCAGGTTACCGGACTCATTATAATTGTATATAACCAGAAAATCCCTCGGTCCAAAATATAACAATGGGTCACTTGATGAATCATTAATATACTATCACTAAATAACCAGTTAAATTCCACGTGGGTGATAATGGTAAAGCTTCCTGGAGTAAAAAATGCTATAAAGCTGTCTGATGGAACGGTAAGTATAAATAGGAATACACCTATAATTATGATTCTCTAAGCTATAAGGAGTGACAAGATGAAGAAATTTAGCACATTTTGTCGATTTGGTGATATTTTACGATATAACTTGACTGTGTTGTTTATAATGTGCTGAAAGTCCTAGCACACAAGATGGTCCTCACAAAATAGATCAGTATTGACCTCTTGTTGTTACGCAGTTGAGGGTTTTTACAGAAGTAATAACAGAGATTTTGCGATACCAAGGTCCATGTCTGTACTCAACCATCGTGTGTGTTTTATTTATTTACTGTTGTTTTATGTTTTGTTTTATTGGCTTAGATATATATATAAAATCGTTATTTTTATTTTAATTGAGTGCGGTGTTTACGTGTTTCTCTTCTCCGTTTAGACTGCCTGATAGTGTATGGGAAATATGTCCCCAACTCTCGCTTACAATAAATCATCAAGTTATAAAGTATTGCCAAGTCTTACATCTTATTAGCGTGTAATAAGAGAGAGAAGACTGAGTAAAATATCACTTAGCGTATCATCTTTCTCGTTAAAAGGATAATTAAGTACATAACGATATTAAACAAGAAATAATAACATTAGACGCCCATACACTCACTCATCTCAAGCCAAATTAACTCAGGTCACACGCTGGCTGGACTCGCTGTCAATCAAAGCCAGTCGAGGCTGAGTGAGAAGCGGACAAGTGTTGATGAACGTGAAGGCCACCAAAGAGCTTCTTCATAAGTGTTCATAGACTCTGTTATGGTCGTGCCTCTGTAGCCACCGAGGTTAGGTTAGGTTACCTGACTGTCTTACAGTTATCAGTCCCTCAACATTACATTATGATATGGTACCTACCACCCTTTACCCACGTGGTAGTGGTAGATCCTCCCTCCCCCCTCCCTAGCAGTGGTAGGGCCCCCCTCCCTGGCAGTGGTAGCTCCCCCCTCCCTAGCAGTGGTAGGGCCCCCCCTGGCAGTGTTGGGCCCCCTCCCTGGCAGTGGTAGCTCCCCCCTCTAGCAGTGGGCTCCCCCTCCCTAGCAGTGGTAGAGCCCCCTCCCTAGCAGTGGTAGACCCCCCCTTCCCTGGCAGGGGTAGGGCGCCGAAGGTCGATATT